GGGGGAACGTTTCAGGCAGAGGAAATTGCATGCACAGAGGCACAAACACTTGACTGGGCTCCTTTGGGATGCCACTAGTAGTTCTTTTTTTTCTTTTTTTTTGAGATAGAGGTCTCACTCTCACCCAAGCTGCAGCCTCTGCCTCCCAGGTTCGAGTGATTCTCCTGCCTCAGCCTCTTGAGTCTGGGATTACATACAGGCCTGTGCCACCACACCTGGCTAAATTTTGTATTTTTAGTAGAGACTGGGTTTCACCATGTTGGCCAGGCTGGTCTCGAACTCCGGACCTCAAGTGATCTGCCCTCCTTGGCCTCCCAAAGTGCTGGGATTACAGGCATGAGCCATCGCGCCTGGCCACCACTAGTAGTTCTGAATGACAGCAACAAAGAACATTTTTTGTGGTTGCCTGGTAAGTTGGGAGACAAGGCTGGTAAGTAGACAAGAGTCAGATCTTCTCAGTCCCTTTATGCAAAGATGCAGCCAGTATCCAAGTTACAATTATGTTGATTCTTCTTGAGCAGTTCTTCCTTGCATTAACTCCCTGAAACCCCAAATCCTAGTACAAACTCTGTTGTCTAATAGGATGTTATGGAAAGAGGCACTCATTTGGAGAAAATTCAAGATTTTGTTCTTTTACTAAAAGATGTGTGACCTTAGGCCACTTCACTCTTAAAAGCCTGGGGTTAGTCCTTGGTCAGTGGGGATAATGCTCATGTCCACCTTGCCTCCTGTAGAAAGTGTTTAAAAGAAATAACATGGCTGTTAGTGGCTTTGTAAGTGCATAGTACTATACAGAGATTTGTAGTTGTATTTAGATAACCACTTAACCACTTAAGTGGTTTCATTACTTCTTTACCTGAAAGGTGTAGCAGAGAAGAGTGATTGCTCTGGCTCTGGGTTGGCCAGAGTCACTGGATATTTTGTCCGGGAAAGTGGTTCAAGAGAAGTGGTACCAAATTGTTGAAGGCCACTGGCTCATAATGTTAGAAGAGACATCTGTGAGTGTTCATAAATGCCATCATGAGGTGTTCTGTTTAAGCTGAATGCTACGACAATACAATCAATAGAAACTCAATACCCTGACTTAGAGATAGTTCGTTTCAGGATGAGAACTGCCACATTTAACTGGTTTCTTCCAGCTTACTCAGGATGATGATGCTGATTTCTGGTAGTTCACCTAGATGAACCTCTGTGCTAACTTAAGAAGGTAATAACTAAAATGCCCATTCAAAGGAAAAAATTATCTTTTAAATGCAGCCTAAGATGATCTCATGGGATTGTATATTGTCAGAGTCTTTAATCTTGGGAATTTTGTGTGGTATTTTAAATTTAAGGAGGTTACAGAAGAAAAAGAGAACGCAAATTTATATGACCTTATGCAGCTTTATAGGAAGTACTGTGCTTGCATCGTAACTATCAAAAGGAGAAAGTCTGGTGGCTTCCCGAAAGAAGCATGACACAGGAGGATTTACCTAGACTTAAGGTTGATTTTCATGAAATAGTTCTGGATAGTGAACATTACGCTCTTTCAGACTAGGGGTATCTTTCTGAGAGAGTAAATGTTTTGTTTTTTGGCAGAGACTTGCTCTGTCACCCAGGCTGGAGGGCAGTGGTGCCATCATAGCTCACTGTGGCCTCAAACTCCTGGGCTCAAGTGATCTTCCTGCTTCAGCCTCCCAAGTAGCTAGGACTACAAGTGCCACCATTCCTGGCTAATTTTTAGATTTTTTTGTAGAGGTGAAGTCTTGCCATGTTGCCCAGGCTGGTCTTGAATTCCTGGCCTCAAGCAATCCTTCCGCCTCAGCCTCCCAAAGTACTGGGATTATAGGCATGAGCCACTGCACTCAGCCTAAGTATGTGTTTTCCTTTGTATTTCTTTTTGTCTTTTTCACTAAGTCATAGGAGTTTTTTAAAATCGTCACTCTTTCTGTTGATCTCAGTTTTTCCAAGGCCTAATTCTTTACTTGCCATCTCCTCATTCTGAGATCCCACTTGTTGTCCAACTCAAAGGAGCTTTCCAAATGAGTTACTTTCAAGGCATTTGATATATATCTCTTTTTCTTTCTCTTCTCCTTCCTTTTCCATGAGAGTCCATCTGTGGTAAATAGTATGTCTTATATATTTTTTGGTCATTGTTCAAGACTAGATCCTTCTTTATTTCCTAGCCAATTCCCCTACCAATGATACTGTCACATGGAAATGGTCTGTTGAACATCCATCCTCACTAAGTTGAGGTTTAAAGTTACTGTGGACGCATTTACTTTTGCTTTATTCCTTGACTGAACCAATGGCCTTCAAGAAGCCTTAGATAGTCCTGCCATTAGTGAGTAGGGATATCAGGTAGGAGGGTACCAATGAATCAGTGTAGTTGAGTACCACTTTTGGGAGAAAATAGAAACTTAGACACTCTAAATGGTCGTTTTAGGATGCTGTTTTTGTTTGTCGTTTGTTTTTTGTGTAGGAAAAGCTGGCTTAGAATCTTGAGTTCAGCCCTTCAAGTTGATGTGTAATTTAAGATTGTTTAGGAAATTAAAAAATCTCAGACCCTGTGGATGTAGTTCATTCACTGCAGTAATTATCTTTCAGATACTAAGTACAATGTTAATTCTTTAGCTTTAACATAGCGCTGATTTTCTTAACATTTCATGATCACGTAGAGCAGACTGTGTTTTATGGCACAACAAATCTCAGCCATGTGCTGAAGATTCTTCATGGTAGTGGTTTAGATCCATCCTGAATTATCTTTATTTAGTTTTTAAGTAACTTGCTTATCAAAAATGGCATTAAACT